TTTTTTCCAGCGGAACCCGCCAGCCTAAACAGCTGATCGAAGAGACTTTCAGAGCATTCGCACGAGGCGATTTTACAGGCAACAAAAGTTGAATGCGAAGTTGAATGAGGAGTTGAAAGTGAAAAAGTTGCCATCCCTATTCAGACGAGGCGATTTCCGATTCAACACGAATTGTTATTTAGATTATTTAAAAATGAATTTAAATCGCAAAATTTTATCAATTGGCGTAAATTTGGTAAGCCAAGCGTTGGTAAAAGTGCTTTTTTACCAAGTTTTACCAAGCCACTCGCCAGAATACAATTTCAAAATGGTGGTATGTATACAGAATGTAAACGAACGCAGGGTTGCAAGGAAAAAATGTTGAACGAGCGCAAAGTTGGCTGGCGACCAACTTTGTTGGAAGCGATTAGTTGAAAGGCCGTTTGGACGAGGCGATTTTTGGCAACTTTTAGTTGAAAGCCTTTCAATTAAAAGTGGGCTGAAAAATCGCCTCGTGCGAAAGCCCTATTACGCCGCTTCTATTAAATTTAACGCCGCTTTGTTATGTGACAGTTGCAAATAAATTCTATTTTTTATTACTGATGTGATAAAGTATCTAAAATATTTTATAATAATACTACGTTTCTAAATATATGTTCTTTAAGATGTTTACTATATAATTATACACTGTTTAATTCACTATAGCATTGAAAAATTACGGCTGCATTGAATTCGAAATACTAGGTTTGTATAGTAACCAATAGTCAGTACTAATTTGTACTGGAACCTGCAAATTTTTACTGGAAAAGCGTATGATAACCCAAAAAATTTGCAAGAGAGCACTGAATCGAGAGCGTAACAACACGGGAGAGCTGCAAATTCTTGCTAGTGAAATTTTTACTACCAGAAATTAGCTAGCTGAAGAAGAAGAAGAATAAATGTCAAAAGCCGCCATTTGTTGAATTGGTTTAGCACAAACAAAAGTAAAAGGAGTTTAAATCAAAATATTGTGACTGTGTAAGTGCTTGTGTGTAAAGCAGAGTTTAAGACTGAATTATAAATAGTAAAATGTTTACAGCAGAATGTCAAAACAGTGCAACGACTGTTCCTTGCAAGTTTTTGCTAGTTTTGTGTTCATTAACTTTTTCTGCTAGTTTTCTCTTCTTCTCAATTTTACGCTCTATTTTGCTTTTACGCTCTCGCTGCAATGTTTTACTGGAGAAGTTACTATACAAACCTACTATCGACGCCACTACCTGTATTTATGGCAATTTCATTTGTTTACATTTATCAGCTGTTCATTTGGCAGCATATTCATCAAGCCATTTCTAAGACGTAATTGTTGACTTCAACAATTGACATCAGTTTCATAGCAGATGAGCTAAACAGCTACATCTTATTAGAAACCTGTGTAACGGTTTACTTTGATTTCTCAAACAAAATACAACGAAGAGTTTACAAAGATATGCATCACCTTCATACGAACATGGTGCACATACGAACGTTGTAATAAATGTATGTATGTACATTAGGGCGCCTCAGATATGCGAGATATCGAAGCGCTAACAATAACACACGCATTATTAGAAAATATACAGTAAGTACTGCATAGATGAAGCTATGAATAACGCTTGCCAATAACGTAAACTTATAGCGTTTTCTTTTCTCAATGAAAATATTGCCTCAATATATGGCACAATTATGTAAATGTTCACCCACACCCTGTAAAAAGGTTGCATTTTGGGTATGAGAAAAGAGCAAAAAAATGCCAACTTTAACTTTTTCGCCATTTATTTGATTAGTTTTAATAAAATCATACAATGCACTTTCATTATAACAAGGGTATTCATATAACTGATAATAAACTGCCATTTATGAAATTTATAATTTTATTGCGTTTATATCCAGTGTTTGAAGAATAATTATTACAAAATAGGAATCCAAATCTGCTGGGCAACACTCGCCCTTACGCATTAACAAGGGCAGAAAATGTTGCACTTTTGTCCCGCCAGGGGGCAACATGTTGAGAAAAGTAGAAACAAACATTATAGCGAAGCCGAAGAGTAGCGGTTTTTCTTGAAACGCTGTCACCGGGCTGTCAAGTTTTCGTGTTCTTTTTTCAGCATCTTTACATGAATATTGCATGCTCTTGCGTAAAAATGTTGCACTCTGATAATGTTGCCATATAAGGTGACATTTTTCTCGAGAAAAGAAAAGGCCATACGGTTTCGGGAAGATCGCCCGCAACTGGAGCTTTAGTTAACTTGGCGGCATTCGTGGAAACTGAAGATCCTCCAAGGGATGATGAAAATTACCGTTTTTTTTACAATTAATTATTTTTAATCAGCTGAGAGATGTCCTTCTATTTACAATACATATGTGTGTATAAATATGTGCATAAAAAAAAACTGAAAGTATTACATATGTAAGTTTTTATGATCTTACATATATGTATAAGTACTTTACCTAAAGAAGGACACATTTAATCCAAGCAAAATACTAAGCTGCATAAGCTAATTTTAATCATGCACATAAAATAAATGAGTTCTCATTGTACATATAAGATATTTATTTTAATATATTAATGGATATACATAGATATACAGTTGTCCACAAAATAATAGGAGTTTGGTGTTCTTTGACAATTTTTCATTTGTTTATTTAATGTCCATTATTTTCTTATAAAAGTCTTGGTAGTTATACAACAAACACCATATCAATTAACATTTCAAACTTACTACCAAAATTATAAAAATTCCGCAAAGTTTAACAAAAAATTTCAAAACTTTTTAATTAGAAGTTTTAGAAAAAAATTTATCTATGCAGTTTTGTTGCCCATTAAATCATGGTTTAATAAGTGCAAGTTTCACTTGTACTTGTTTTACTAGAATCAAATAACCAATGAACCTGCTTACCCAAAATTTTTCTAAAAATCCAGATTGAAAAGTTCAAAATTTAGATGAAAATTTGTTTAATGTTTGACTAAAGCGTGAATAATATTTCACCAAAAAATTTTAACTTGAAAAACATTGCAAATAATAAAAAACAGCATGCACTCACTTTTGATCGCCAGAGTAGGTATGAAATATCGTCGATAGCATCGATGTTAATGTACTTTCGATAGTTATACCCCATCGATACTATCGATAGTGCCAACGATAGTTAGCCACCACTACTTCGTATGGAAAAAAATGCGATACACCTTCAAGCAAAAAAGTTCTCAAAAATCAACGGGCTTTTTTTCCAACTTGAAACTTGCACTTTATTACACTAAAATTTAATGGGCTTACCAGTTGTTTTATTCTTGAAATTTTGGTGAAAATTTGTCGAATTTTCATAATTTTTGAACAATGTTCGAAATGTGGATTTATATGGTGTTTTTTCTATAACCTGTTAGACTTGTATAAAAAAACATTAAAACATTAAACAAACAAAAGAAAAATAGTTTGACTGGTGCACTTCTATTATTTTGTGGACAACTGTATGTATGAGCGAAAATAAACATAAGGTACAGATATCTGTTATGAGATTAAATATATTTACATACATACGTATCTTAAGCTTACTTACTTTTATTAAAATATAAAACAATAATTTTTTAAAGAGATAGTTTTCCACATACCTGGTTTCCTTTATACGCATACAGTTTTTTTCTTTTGGCTACAGTTGAAAAGACATCATATGCGTTGATTTGCCCTGAAAAAGAAAAAAAAAAAACATGAAATTGATAACTGATAGTTCGAAAAGTTTTTCCTTTTTTTCAACCATCTGAGTAAAACATATCGTTTCTGGTGCTGAATCCAAATCTGGCCGCAGAATTGCTCTAGCATGTCAGGATTTTTAAATATCCTAACTTCAAAGTGCCAAAAACACTGGTTTTGCCGATATTTGAGGTTATCTTATGAGAACAACAAATTTGTTTGCTCATTTCTACTTACGGGCACCATTTAGCACTACTTTTCCCCTTTAGAACTCATTTTCGTTTTGTGCGATCCGATTTCGATTTCTCGAGTATTACTTCGTAAGCATGAGTCATCATAGCTAAATAATACCCAAGTACTGCACATTAAAACTGATATATCTCAAGAAAGTAAAATCGAATCGCAACAAGCGAAAATTAAGGTTAAAGGGGAAGGGTAATACTAAATGATGCCCTAAGTAGAAATAAGCATAAAGGGACTCGCCCATTACCTACATATGTACATACAACGGAATTTTTTAGCAGCTTGAAACTTGCACTTCTTCAGACTAGAATTGAATGGGCTATAAAACTGCATACCAGAATTTTCTCTGAAGATTCTGATTAAAAAGTTTGATACTTTGGTGAAAATTTACAGAATTTTAATAATTTTTGTACAAAGGTTGAAATCTGAATTTATTCGTTGTTTGTTGTATACCCAGCTTGACTTTTCTATAAAAATAATAAACATTAAATAAACAAAAGACAAATAGCAAAAACTGACCAAAATAACCTTGTTGTCAGCTCATTAAGTTATGTGACATTTTGACCAGTTTTGGATTTTTCTTCTGTTTATTTAATGTTTATAGTTTCTTTTTATAAAATTCTAGCACATTACATAACCAGACCCATATAAATCCACATATCAAACTCTATACAAAAATTTTAAAAATTCAACAAACTTTAAATAAATTACACCCAAAAATTTTAAACTTTTTGTTCAGAAATTTTAGCAGTTTAAATTTAGGTAGGTAAAAGTGAAGATTTCAAGACGCTAGAAAATCGTGTTGAGTTTTAATATTGTGTTTTTTTTTTTGCTGACGGTGCTAGGCATTTTCTTCTATATAAAAGGCACTATCCTTACTCAACGCCATGAATCAAAAAAAATAAGAATACCACATTGCGGAGCAAGAAATTCTCTACATAATTGCAGTAGGAAGTACTACGTTGTGACCTATTACTTTCCCGTAATTTGCCAACCTAATTCAATGATTTCTTTTTTTTTTTTGTACGAGATATGAGCAGGAAACAATGTTACTCATACGCCATGTACGAGATCCAAGCGTTTAACAAAATTTTAAGGAAAACGATTACAATTGATTACGCAATTATGTAGCGCATTTCTTCCTCTACAATGTATTGTCTTTTTGATAAATGCATTTCATTTTACGCAGGCAGAGTTTGGCGTCCAGTTGGATAAAATTTGTTAGTTTTTCATTAATTTAAAAATGCGAAAAAATAGATGCCATTGTCTTAGCCCGTTATTAGACTAGTCTTAAAAGGTGTGGAATGAGTGGCAGTTTTTTAGAAAAAATCAATAAGTACGCTTTTCTTGGAACTCATTAAGTTTGTGCAATTGGGCAACTTAGAGCTGTGTGTTTCATAAGGACTTCTTTTTATATTTTGTGCTATTTGTGACATTTAGTTATTTGATAAAACTATTTAATTTAAAAAGTTGAACAGTTGAAACGCGAATTTCGGTAAATATTTAAGTTCTACTGCAATCATTTCTTAACCCTGGATGTGCTTCGTTATTCGATTCGACTAACAAAAATCGTGTTTCACTTCGTACCTCTCTCTGAAGTAATTTACCATTTTGTTTATTATATGTAACAGAGGAAATAATATGTATTTAATACTTCTACTATTCAAAGTTGGTGTTAGTCGTTTCGATTAAAAGCCCGCAGACAGGGTCAAAAGAGCGAAGCACTTCCAGGGTTAAAAGCGTTGAGCACAAGTCAAAGTGAAAGGCACAGGTTGCAAAGGTTGCACAGCACACCGCGCAAAGTTGCCCTTTTTGTGCAAATGGCTTTCCTACAATTTTGACATTTCATTTGCGAGGGTTTAAAATTCCACAGTTTGTCAGTTTGCGAGACTTTTGCGCTTTTGAACTAGTACCGTTATTACTCTATATTAAAACTTTAAACATTTTATAGAAATACGGGTTTTCGTTGTATATTCCAAAAGCATTTTGGAAATGAAAAAGTGTCAAAAAATACGGTCCCGAGCAGTGTAGCCGTTTTGATACAATTGTATCATTTTTGATACTTTTTTTCTAAATTTTCAGATTTGATACTTTGATAGTTTTTTGTTCACAACTGCCCCATTTTGATACTTTTGGCCGGCAGAAATTAATTTTTGAAAACTATGAATACTACTACTACTAGTTTAAAGGCACATAATTTTTTCCTTGTTATTTAAAGTCTTGAAATTGTATATGTAGATATTTATGAGTTTGATTTCTTAACTCTTGTAAGGAAAATACAAACTGGAATTTCTTTGCATACGCCGCTGTTATAGGGATTATATGGGGTTGTTCGAACTAAATTGCACAATTATTGCACTAAAATCAAAATCATTTTGTTATTTTGTTCATGATTGTGTTATTGTACAGTAATTTGTATTGCGTTTGCCGACAACTGCGCGATTTTTAGTATATTTTTGATTTTGATGTCTAGATGGTGATGGTGCTGTAAAATAGCGATAAAAAATTACATTTTTTCTAATTATTCTTTTTTTCCACAACATTGATTTGTCCAAGTCTCGGGTTGCCCAATGATTTTGTGTGGTTTAGGGGCGCTATAAGTTTGTTTGTCACATACAGAATCTATGTTTTTGTTAAAGCGAATAATATAAAATTAAGAAAATGATATAAAAATTAGAATTGTTCAACTTTTTGAGAAATCAGCGATTTGTACTGGTGATTTTCGATCGGAGAAAAACGGAGATTTTAAGGCATGTCCATTCTCATTACTTAGCAAAGGTCCTCAATGAGATTTTGATCATAAAAGCAAGATGCTCAACTTATAAGATCAACTCTTGGTTATTTCATCATGCCTTATTTGACAGCCTCGGTGTTTTGACCAATCTCAATCAATAACCAATATCAATTTGCAGCTTTGTTTCGTTGCTTTATTTGAACGATTTCAGTCAACGTCTCCCCACCCAGTGGGCGGAACCGGCAATACAAGTTCAAAGCACAGTCGCTTTATCCCAAAGTCACTGCTTTTATCCGCATTATCGAATGTACATACATATGTATGTATGTACGAATATGGCATTACCCATTACTAGCATTGTATGCAGATATGTACATATGTATGTGTACGTATGTATCTAACTTTCAACGGAAGATAAATGTATGCGCCACATTTCACCATTTTACATTGACCAATTTTAGGTGTTTCGCTTACCACGCTTGGCTTTCGCCATCTTTCATTATAAATCATTCACTATTTTTTCGCCTCTTTTGCAGTTTTTCAAAATTTTGTTCGGAACGTTTGCGTGTTCGACGCCGCTTGATGGGCGTCTACATTCGCAATTTCACAACCAGTTATGTATGTATCTTTTCTCTTTTTTTGTAGGTGGATAAAATGCGATCGGAAATGTTACAAATACCGACTTACACCAGCATTGATACCATTTTGCATATCGGTCGTTTAAAGTTTGATCAACAAATGCTACATAAAAACGCATCCTTTAAATAGACATACATACATATGTATATGTATGTAGAATATGTAAATACAGTGTACTCGCGATAACTCGAACTAATGAAAACCAGATTTGTTCGAGTTAACGAATTGTTCGAATGTTATGTATTTTTATACCCCAGCGGACCTGTTCACAAAGGTACTATAACTTTGTTAACATAACGGTTGTTTTGTAACAGCCTAAAGGAATTGAGATATGTATATATAGACAAATGTGAAAAGATAAATCGATTAAGCTGTGACTGTCTTTCCGTCCGTCCATCTGCAGTAAGGCTCCTTCAAATAAAAATATTAACATCTAGCAACAACAACAGTGTAAGATCGGCCGTTTCACGGCTACCAGCAGAAGTAAGACTCTAATAATGACAAACTCGATCAAATATATGTAAATATGTGCATATGTAACTCCTCCTGCCATTTAGGTTTGTCAACCGGATACCCAAGCACAACAACACTGTCTGTGTGATTTGTGGCAGTTTGCACAAAAAGCCGAATTAGTTCAGAAGAATTTTTTTTTAGGCATCACTCAGCCATTTATCGCTATCAAACATCTATCTTAAACTGGAAGGGGGTTTTCCATATTACAAGTGCATGCAATTTATAAAAACTGTCGGTGGTTTTTTTTTTTTTAATTTTCTTTGCAAATTTTCTTGCGAATTTTCATCCATAAGAAATTTGTGCTTGTAGATATGGAAATGGAAAAAAGTGTTAAAAGCCGCCAATAAAAAAAAATAAAAAAATCAACGCGATTCTACAGACGCTTAAAACTTGAACTTTATGGTACTACAAATTCATTTGCTAAAAAACTGCAACTTCAAAAAAATTTAAAACAATCAGATTAAAAAGCTCAAATTTTAATGAAAATTTGTTAAATTTTTCTAAGCTCTGTAAAAATTTGAATGTTTCAGATAAAGCGTGAACCATATTTTTATGAAAAAATAAAATAAATTTAACTTTAAAAGCCTTGCAACCTCACTGTACATATCCAATATTTTGTTAAAAATAAAACAAATTATAATGCTGTATTAGGGTCAATTAACAACATACTTAAATATACAACATGATTACCCCATATAAATTCAGATTTCAAACTTTGTACAAGCGTTATAAAAATTTCGCAAATTTTCACCCAAATTTCAAACTTATTAATCAGAATCTTTAGAAAAAATTGTGGTGTGCAATTTTCTAGCCCATTTAATACTAATATAATACAGTGCAATTTTCAAGTTGCTAAAAAATCCCGT